ATCTGTATGTCTAAGGTCAAGATCACATTCATTCTTGTTGTACAGGGTATTGCCACATGGCGTTGGCTGACAAGATATTTCATATAGACATCACACAGAAGGCCAAAACAGTGTAACCGCTTTCTTTAATATAAATCATGCTGGGCTGTGAAACCAGGTGGTAGTTTACACGAGTCAGTGAGGGAATCCCAACTCCAGGGCAGGACAACCCTGTTACAGTGAAGAGTTCAGAAAAACATCTTATTCGAACGATGATAAATAACAAAACAAAACCCCCCTGAATCAAACTGCATTTAACAAGGGTATGTTGCAACTCCTATTTGTTATGATAACACAAGGAACAGAGCCAAGGTCATACTGGTTCCAAGTGACCCAGGTCGTGAAACATGCAGTAACAACTTGCTACTTGAACCTGATAAATGAGAGTATACTCTTTCATATAACGCAAAAATACCTATACCTCTCCAGATTGATTACGCAAAGTAAAAGCATGAACGAATATACCACACCAGCACACCAGGCTTGCTTTTGCATGCCATAAATCTGTACTAACTGTGCATGTCGTACATACAGGAGACTCAATCTTGTTGCATCCATGAACAAAAGAGTTTCAATCAGGAGATGTGTGTACTATTCAACATTTGGAGAAAGTATCGCATCTTACTGAATTTTAATCTTTACACCTGGGTACAATGTGTGAATCCCATTTCTGGTGTCTCCCACCGTGATATTGCTGGAATATTGCTAAAAGCAGTGTAAAACTAAACTACCTCACTAATCTTTCAAATCACTGTATATCTCAATGTGTTATTCATCAATTGTAATCTAATTCTATGAGAATTGCAACTGAGTGTTCAGCTGACTGTCTGAATATATGACTGAAATGTTCATGATGTGAGTGTAACCAAAACAAACTATCCACAGCACAGTTGACAATGCCAGCCCTGGTCACAGTACATGCCTGTTTCATCATCTCCATGACGACAGTAATGTCTACATAGTGATAGTCAGAGGTGAGTTGGATGGATTGTTGTTTAACACCGCACTCAGCAATATTCCAGCTATATGGCGGCGGTGTGTAAGTAATCGAGTCTCCAAACACCTGATCATAGGAGAAATCTATCAACTGATGTCAAATTAACATCGGACTAAGTATCTCCATTACATTAACATTTACTTTGCAAATGTAACTGTAAAACAAGGCCATAGGAAGTTCCAGATATGCTGGACTCAGAGATTTTACGAGTGCTTCTCTCCGAGCACACATCAACCGGGATATGGAGAAAACAGACCCCAAAAAATTGAGAAAACGGCCACCGCGCTGGAGAAAACGGCCTTTGTGCCTAGAGAAAACGGCCAACATAGCTGCACCAAGATCAAAGGAGATATATGATTATATACATTCTAAAATAATAGAGATTTACTTCATTGCGGATATACTTTTAAAAATTGATTGATTGTTTTTGTTTCGATATACACAGCGGTTTAACCTTTGAAGATTGATTGGTTGTTTTTGTTTCGATATACACAGCGGTTTAACCTTTGAAGATTGATTGGTTGTTTCGATAGTTACGATGAACAAACCATTTGATTGATCGTAGATTTTACAGGTAAGATTAGTTGATGATAGAGAGAAAAAAGATAATAAGGCAGTGTTTATATTGACAAGTGGATTAGTGGAATATTTAATTACATCAAATGTGAATAAAAAAGTCGTACCTAATTCCAACTTTTGTTATTTTGGTTCTGCCATGGTCCCTAGTATGGTGATCTACCTTCAGTTGTAGGCAATCTATCTCCTGTTTTCATAGTGTATTGTCATCTATAGTTTAAATGTTTTAAATTTAATTCATTTAGATTTGTATCACAAGTCACTATGAGTCAGGTGAAGATACCCAATTACCCCGCTACTACCTGTGTACTGACTGACGTGAGAGTGAGAAAACAGGTTGACAAAAGAATTAATAGATCATCTTATCTTATACTTTCACCGCCAGCCACTGAGTAATGATAACATTTTCTTGTGTTTATTCAATAATTAACTGTTGACGAGTGAAGGCGCAAACCCGAAATAATCCTTTCCGGTCGGCTGCCGCTACTGTTTAAAAAGGTGATGACAGACTCGCTTGGTCCTGATCAGCCAGCTGGCATCCACTTACTCTTACTCTTTAAGAAAAACATGAAATACTATTATTTGATGGACAGAGTTCTTATTTATTCTGTTTATCTCTTTAGTACACATGAAGAGTGGTTTGATGAGCATTCTGCAGCAAACAGCATCATACATAAATACAACTTGTAGATGTACAACCTAAGACTTTGCCATTACTATGTAATGATTGTTGTTGCCTTCTTATTATGATATTGATATGGAGATGATCAAAAGCAAAATAAAATACATGTAGTTTTCTTCTGTTATAACAATTGCGCAGATCGATGCTCATGCTGTTGATCACTGGATTGTCTGGTCCAGACTCGATTATTTACAGACCGCCGCCATATAGCTGGAATATTGCTGAGTGCGGCGTAAAACTAAACTCACTCACTCACTCACTCTTCTGTTATAATATAATGGCTGTTTTCTCTTGGCCAAGCGGCCGTTTTCTCTAGCAGCGGTGGCCGTTTTCTCAAGGGCGGTGGCCGTTTTCTTGAATTATTTTTTTGACCGTTTTCGCTGGGGTGTGTTTTCACTATAACCCCATGAACCTGACGTTGACTGACTGAGTTTGGTTTTACGCCGCTTTTAGCAATATTCCAGCAACATCACGGCAGGGGACACCAGAAATGGGCTTCACACATTTTACCCATGTGGGGATTCGAACCCGGGTCTTCGGCGTGACGAGCCAACGCTTTAACCACTAGGCTACCCCACCGCCCACCTGACGTTGAAGGAGTTGATCTTTCATGGAGGGTACTACCTGCATGTACCCCATGTACTGTCAAGTATACAGGAAAGGACCCTCGCAAAACCTATAATATTCGCTTTCATTCTCAGTGTATGTTGTATGTCCAGATATTGCAAGTTGGTGTCTATCTGGTCTCTCCAAATATTTCACAAAACTCTCAGCTTTTCCATCACTATGCATTGTACTAGGATCTCGATAACACGCTGTGCCGTCTACATGGTGTGACCAAGTCAAGCTAACATTTCTCTATTAGAGAGTTTGATTCAGTGCTGCTGGGATAGTATTTCAATCACATAATGTCATGTCAGCTTATATATACTAGCCACATAAAGAAACTGTGCATTGTCAAAATATCATCCCAGTTGATAAGTACGATAACAATGTCAAAGGTACATATAAACTTTAATGGAGGGATCATGAGACCATAACAAGTCGGGAGAATTGCAATTGAAAAGTCAATCACAACGATGTCACGAGTCCACAAGCTGGACAGGGGGTCAAACGACCATGTCACAAGCTCAATAACGGGTATGTCCACCATCGGCATTGAGAACAGCAGTGAATCGACAATGCATAGAGCCTATCAAACGTGCAAGGAAGGCTTGTGGGATGTCACGCCATATTCTCTCAAGTTCTGTTGCAAAGTCAAAGACGTTATCTGGCGGATGAGGAAGACGGCGTAGACGTCGATCCATCTCGTCCCAAACATGCTCTATCGGGGAGAGATCCGGTGAATTTGCAGGCCAAGGCAGTAAGTCAACGTTGTGGTGTTGCAAGAAATCCATAGCAACCCTTACCGTATGAGGGCGGGCATTGTCCTGTTGGAATGTTAACCCAGTGCCATGACGTTGCAGAAAAGGAATTGCCACAGGTCGAAGAATCTGATCCCTGTAGCCCACACCAGTTAAGTTGCCCTGAACAATGACCAAAGGAGTTTTTTGGCGTGCTGTTATTCCACCCCAAATCATCACAGAACCACCACCAAAGCGATTCCTCTCCAAGACACAGGCCTGTGCATAACGTTCTCCCACGCGTCTATAGGCACGTTGACGTCCATCACTATGGGAAATGTTAAACCTGGACTCATCTGTAAAAACAACATTTCTCCACCAAAAAACAAGGGTCTGCGGACATGATTTCGGCACCACATTCGGCGAGCTTGTCGATGACGTTGTGTCAGGAAAGGCCGTATGGTGGGATGTCGTGGTCTGATCCCGTGATGACTTAAACGTTGTCGAACTATGTTGGGGTGGATACGGCGAAGTCCTGGGATGGTTCGGGCAGTCATCACTGCAGTCTGAAACCTGTGGCGACGATGGGTCACCCTTATCCATCAGTCCTGTCTTGGCGTTGTTACACGTGGACGTCCAGAACGTGGCCGATCGATGACGTCATTTGTGTTCTGGTAGCATCTCACCAGTGCAGAAATGGTGTTCCGGTGGCAGTGGAAATGTGCAGCCACTTGTCGTTGAGACATTCCCCCACGGGCAATCCCAATGGCCTCATGACGTTGTGCAGACGTGAGCCTTGGCATGCTATGCGTTTCAATACCTGTTAAATTTTTTGAATGATCGCAAGGGCAGGGGTTGAGCTTTCCAAAGTGACAGTATTGTGTGGCATTCATTTGCTCTGTTTCTCTTTCCCGGAATGCACGTGCAACAACGTATTGCATGTCTCAAGGACGAACCCACTGACGTCACGGAGCGTGGCACGTGCATGCATGTTGGATACATGTCACTCATCTCTGAGTTTAAATCCTTATGTGTCTACACAGGTTTGATAAAAGATATTAAATTTTTGTATGCACAGTTTCTTTATGTGCCTAGCATAGGAGGCAAACCTGATGTAGTTATGGCCATATATGCTGAAACATTTGATGAAACCCATATCAGGGGTATAGATGATGGGATTTGAAAAACAAGAGTCTGTCGGGCAGGTAAGGGACATAACTGTTTCAAGTACATTGCGGCACTTCTGTCCTCAAGCTCAGCACTGCATCCAGATTTAAGTAAATGTAAAGTATTGTAAGGTATGTCAAAACAGGTATCGGTTCTTCATGTTTCAGCAATTTCAGAGTACAAAAGCTGTACTGACCTCTTGTAGAGCCGAGTCGATCCGCCAGATCCGAAGACTCTGGTCACGTGACCAAGTGACAAGTTGCTGATCACGCACACCTTTGAACAAACAGACCACATCCTCATTATTTCAAAATGTTTTCTATAAGGTGCAAGGTCAGTCACATAAATCTTGTCTTTTATCTCACTTTAATAGTGAGCTAACTTGTGAAAGCAGTTACTATATGAATGTCAGGCCACTTTAAATACTGAGCCAGTCCTGAATCAGTTGGTAGGTCCTATATAGGTGTCTACTTGTAAAATCCTGCCCATACCAATGATAACACCAGTATGTCAAATCATCAGTACCCAAGTGATCAACTGAAACAGTTCTATAGACACACTATAGTCTGTGAACAGTCTGCGTCCCTCACCTTCGGTCTGTTTCCTCCAGTGGAACTCGAGCACCACGTCCTTGTGTCCAACAAAGGTGTGTATGGGCTGCGTGAGGTTGCTTGTGTTCCACAGGTACAGCTTGTTCTCCCCTCTCCGCAACTGGGGCACTACCACTGTCATCAGGCCATTACCGAACGGCTGTCAAACACAAAATTCATGGTCATGACGTGTGCACTCAAAACAATGTACCATACAACGAAAGATGACAAATACTCTGGGCCGCACAACTTAGAAAGACCAAATCCATTTGATTGTTACAGCAAGTCACAGAAGAGAGATCGGTCAAACATGATGAGAGTGTCTAAAATGTCTGTCCATATACAAAATTAGTTACCGAGCTATCAACACATTGCAATGGACTTGGGATTAGAGACTAAGCAAAGTTTCGTGAAAGAATACCAAGTTGTACTGCAGATATAATCTGGACAAAAAATAGTTACAGATGTGACACATGAGACTCATACAGATGAGAATGAGTGTAGACATGTATGAGTGAGTGAATGAGAACCTGAATGAGTAAAGAAATGTGAATGAATGACAGTGTCAATGAGTAAAGAAATGGTGGTCTGTTTGTAAACTACCTTTATAACAAACATGCTTATAATGAAATGATGGATATAACGAACTGTTTTTTTGGTTTTGGCCGCCTGTAGTATCTTACAGTTGAAATCCTATGTTAAGCTATTAAAAACTGTGGTTGAAATGAACTTAAACTTATCATCCCTTTGGGCTCATTATAATCCCAGTTTATTGTATGTGGCTGCGACTGAAGTCGGCAATATTGAAGCGATACTAGTGGACAGTAAGTAGTATCTGTGTAGACAAACCAGTGGTTGACAGCATGAAGAACCATCCGCTTGGTCAGTGTAATAACCCTCAGAGACTGTCCGGGCACAGATCATCACTCTCAGTGACACTTTTGAAAGGACACATTACAGTATTTGGCCTCCTTTAAATATTCTTCTGGGTCAGCATAGTAAGTGGTCCATGAAAACACCCTAACCAAGTTGCATAGATCGCTCTGTATGTATCACTGCACACGGTGTCTCCAGTTAAGTGACTACACAACTGCACATGGCAAACAGCTCCATCGAGATAACTTACTTGCCTCATTTATTAACATTTCTGAGAAAAAAGGGAAAGAAAGGAGAAGAAAAGGTATTAATCTGATTAAACTGTGTGAAGAGATGCTGTCTAAGAGTGGCTTAAACATATTTGTCAACGTTGTCTTACCGTGAGGCGTGCCCTCCATACTGGCGACCCTGTGTTGAGAGTAAATTCACTCCGGCGATGGTTGGTGCAGTCCCAGAACTACAAACAGAAACAGATATAGTAGTTATAATTTCAATCATATAGTTATATAACAAATGTGTCTCTTTGAATTTCAGCTGACCATGTGCTCATCAAAACTTAATCTTGAAATCTCCAATAAGAAGTACATATCAAATTACTTAGGACTGGTTTGTTTGTTTGTTGTTTATCGCCGCACTCAGAAATATTCAAGCTATATGGTAGCGGTCTGTAAATAATCAAATCTGGATCAGACTATCCAGTGATCAACATCATGAGCATCAATCTGTGCAACTGGGATACGATGACATGTGTCAACCAAGTCAGCGAGCCTGACCACCAGTTCCCTTTTACGACAAGCATTGGTTGCTGAAGACCAATTCTAACCAAGATCTTCTCAGGTTCAAACTACTTAGGACACAATAATAAGTGTCAATACTCACTCTGACAAAACAGTCCTGACTGGCAGTGACCAGTTTGTACTGGTTGTTTGGATTCCAGTCCAAGCCGTGAATTTTCGACAGATGAGCAGCAATATACTGGATTGGTGTGTTGCCTTTCTGGAAAACAAACGGAAAGTTTGAGATGTTACCGCTCATGCCGACTTCTGGCTCTCAAATGGTGGAGACTGTGTCACTGTGTCAGCTGTAGGTGCAGTCATGATTCATGTGAGGCTCACTTTAGCTTATATGCAGAAGAGGGGATACTATGAACAAGGAATTCACTTACAAGTATTTACACCAAAACAGTTATTTCGAACAACATGCTGTCAAAAAATCATCAGTGGCTATTACCAGTAGAAAAAAAAGAAGAGCAATCTTCTACCCAGTGCCTACAGTTACCTCCCTTTAAATCCTCTAATCTCCACATGTACTCACCCCTGGGGTCCCATATCCTGATGTCCCCACACCTGTACTCACCCTGGGGTCCCATATCCTGATGTCCCCACACCTGTACTCACCCTGGGGTCCCATATCCTGATGTCACCACACCTGTACTCACCCTGGGGTCCCATATCCTGATGTTCCCACACCTGTACTCACCCCTGGGGTCCCATATCCTGATGTCCCCACACCTGTACTCACCCTGGGGTCCCATATCCTGATGTCCCCACACCAGTACTCACCCTGGGGTCCCATATCCTGATGTCCCCACACCTGTACTCACCCCTGGGGTCCCATATCCTGATGTCCCCACACCTGTACTCTCACCCTGGGGTCCCATATCCTGATGTCCCCACACCTGTACTCACCCCCTGGGGTCCCATATCCTGATGTCACCACACCTGTACTTCTCACCCCTGGGGTCCCATATCCTGATGTCACCACACCTGTACTCACCCTTGGGTCCCATATCCTGATGTCCCAACACCTGTACTGCCCACCTGTACTCACCCTGGGGTCCAATATCCTGATGTCCCTCACAGTACTCACCCTGGGGTCCCCATATCCTCATGTCCCCACACCTGTACTCACCCTGGGGGTCTCATATTCTGATGTCACCACACCTGTACTCACCCTGGGGTCCCATATCCTCATGTCCCCACAACTGTTCTCGCCCTAGGGTCCCATATCCCGAGGTCCCCACACCTGTACTCACCCTGGGGTCCCATATCCTGATGTCCCCACACCTGTACTCACCCTGGGATCCCACATCCTGATGTCCCCACACCTGTACTGCCCACCTGTACTCACCCTGGGGTCCCATATCCTGATGTCCCCACACCTGTACTCACCCTGGGTCCCCCCGTCTGATGTCCCCACACCTGTACTCACCCTGGGGTCCCATATCCTGATGTCCCCACACCTGTACTCACCCTGGGTCCCAAATCCTGATGTCACCACAACAGTACTCACCCTGGGGGTCCCATATCCTGATGTCCCCACACCTGTACTCACCCTGGGGTCCCATATCCTGATGTCCCCACACCTGTACTCACCCCTGGGGTCCCATATCCTGATGTCCCCACACCTGTACTCACCCCTGGGGTCCCATATCCTGATGTCACCACACCTGTACTCACCCCTGGGGTCCCATATCCTGATGTCACCACACCTGTACTCACCCTGGGGTCCCATATCCTGATGTCCCCACACCTGTACTGCCCACCTGTACTCACCCCTGGGGTCCAATATCCTGATGTCCCCTCACCAGTACTCACCCTGGGGTCCCATATCCTCATGTCCCCACACCTGTACTCACCCTGGGGTCTCATATTCTGATGTCACCACACCTGTACTCACCCTGGGGTCCCATATCCTCATGTCCCCACAACTGTTCTCGCCCTAGGGTCCCATATCCTGAGGTCCCCACACCTGTACTCACCCTGGGGTCCCATATCCTGATGTCCCCACACCTGTACTCACCCTGGGATCCCACATCCTGATGTCCCCACACCTGTACTGCCCACCTGTACTCACCCTGGGGTCCCATATCCTGATGTCCCCACACCTGTACTCACCCTGGGTCCCAAATCCTGATGTCCCCACACCAGTACTCACCCTGGGGTCCCATATCCTGATGTCCCCACACCTGTACTCACCCTGGGTCCCAAATCCTGATGTCACCACAACAGTACTCACCCTGGGATCCCAAATCCTGATGTCCCCACACCTGTACTCACCCTGGGGTCCCATATCCTGATGTCCCCACACCTGTACTCACCTTGGGTCCCATATCCTGATGTCCCCACACCAGTGTACTCACCCTGGGATCCCATATCCTGATGTCACCACACCAGTACTCACCCTGGGATCCCATATCCTGATGTCCCCACACCTGTACTCACCTTGGGTCACATATCCTGATGTCCCCACACCTGTACTCACCCTGGGATCCCATATCCTGATGTCACCACACCTGTACTCACCCTGGGATCCCATATCCTGATGTCCCCACACCTGTACTCACCCTGGGGTCCCATATCCTGATGTCCCCACACCTGTACTCACCCTGGGGTCCCATATCCTGATGTCCCCACACCTGTACTCACCCAGGGGTCCCATATCCTGATGTCCCCATACCTGTACTCACCCTGGGATCCCACATCCTGATGTCCCCACACCTGTACTGCCCACCTGTACTCGCCCTGGGGTCCAATATCCTCATGTCCCCACACCTGTACTGCCCACCTGTACTCACCCTGGGGTCCCATATCCTGATGTCCCCACACCTGTACTCACCCTGGGGTCCCATATCCTGATGTCACCCACACCTGTACTCACCCTGGGGTCCCATATCCTGATGTCCCCACACCTGTACTCACCCTGGGGTCCCATATCCTGATTTCCCACACCTGTACTCACCCTGGGGTCCCATATCCTGATGTCCCCACACCTGTACTCACCCTGGGGTCCCATATCCTGATGTCCCCACACCTGTACTCACCCTGGGGTCCCATATCCTGATGTCCCCACACCTGTACTCACCCTGGGGTCCCACATCCTGATGTCCCCACACCTGTACTCGCCCACCTGTCCTATATCCTGATGTCCCATATCCTCATGGGTCCCACCATGTCCCCCACCTGTACTCACCCTGGGGTCCCATATCCTGATGTCCCCACACCATGTACTCACCCTGGGGTCCCATATCCTGATGTCCCCACACCTGTACTCACCCTGGGGTCCCATATCCTGATGTCCCCACACCTGTACTCACCCTGGGGTCCCATATCCTGATGTCCCCACACCTGTACTCACCCTGGGGGTCCCATATCCTGATGTCCCCACACCTGTACTCACCCTGGGGTCCCATATCCTGATGTCCCCACACCTGTACTCACCCTGGGGTCCCATATCCTGATGTCCCCACACCTGTACTCACCCCTGGGGTCCCATATCCTGATGTCCCCACACCTGTACTCACCCTGGGGTCCCATATCCTGATGTCCCCACACCTGTACTCACCCTGGGGTCCCATATCCTGATGTCCCCACACCTGTACTCACCCTGGGGTCCCATATCCTGATGTCCCCACACCTGTACTCACCCTGGGGTCCCATATCCTGATGTCCCTACACCTGTACTCACCCTTGGGTCCCATATCCTGATGTCCCCACACCTGTACTCACCCTGGGGTCCCATATCCTGATGTCCCCACACCTGTACTCACCCTGGGGTCCCATATCCTGATGTCCCCACACCTGTAGTCACCCTGGGGTCCCATATCCTGATGTCCCTACACCAGTACTCACCCTGGGGTCCCATATCCTGATGTCCCCTTCGTGTGTTGTAGCAAACATGTTGTTCACCACCTTGTTCCACTTCACTTGAGATGCACCAGCTAAGGACAGAGGAAAACCATATTCAAACACTCACATTCACAAAGTAATGGAGATATATTCCTCTATTTTAAAACTGGGGTCTTCATAACTAGATATTAAAATATTTAATGTTTATCTGTGAAACATCTGTATAAACCTTACCAACACTTTGAAAAGTGGCAGCTGGCTTCTTTGGATCCCTGCAATACATACAAAAAACATATAAATTTTAGAGATTATAACTTTGAAAACAAGCATTGTCACTAAGGTGACATAATCCCCCGGCGCAAATTATCAAATCAAACTTAAAAATTAATGAAAGTGAAGGTCGTAATTGAAGATTAAAAACATGACCAGTCAACCTCTCTTGATATCTTGCTCTGTAGTTGTTCAAATGCACAAATATTTTCAAGACTCACTTTGACCTTGAAATGAATGCCTTAGTGTATGAAATATGCAAAAGTAGTAATAAAGGAATTGCTTATTGAAAAACATTCAAGGGAAGTCTTGAAAGTCTATGAAGAAAACCCAGTGATCTGTTCTTGAGATATCTTAACACGCAGTTTAAGATGATGACATCTTCAAAGTGTCGCCATGACCTTGAAAATTATGTGAAGGTCACCAAAATCGACTGAAACTTGCACCTTCCCTATCTGAAGCTTAGTGTCAAATATGAAGAAAGTCCAGTGAATGGTTCTTGAGATATCTCGCTGACAATCTTTACATGCAGGTTAACATGCTGAAGTCTTCAAAGTGTTGCCGTCACCAAAATCGACTTCCCTCGATGAAGCTTAATGTCAAATATGAAAGAGATATCTCGCTGACAAGGGTAAAACGTAAAAGTCCCCTTGTGACCTTGAAATGAAGGTCAAGGTCACCAAACCTGACTGGGACCTTTCTTTTACTGTGATGAGCCTAGGTACCAAATATGAAAAGAATCCAGTGAACGGTTCTTAAGATATTCCAATTCTGGCAGGGGATAATAAATTAGACATGTTATGTTTAAAACCAAAAAACATCTGAAGAAATACACAGCATCCAAAAATGGGAGGGAGACAACAAATATTTAATGCAACAACCTGCAATATTCCAGCTGTATCAGTTGTCTGTTTGTAATCAAGTCTGCGCCAGGTATTACCAGATACATGAGGGGTAGGTATGATTACTTCAGTATGTTTACCTGATGTCCCACAGATAGGTATATGTGTCCACTGAGCACGATGTCAGCTGATTGACGTCAAATGGCGACCAGTCCACATCACTGCAAGGAAAACACATCCAGTAACTCCACATGGTCACCAATACTAGAGATAACAATAGATGACTGCCTCTTGGCAAAGACAATCCTTCCACCTCAGAGTGGTTTTACTAACTATATGAAATATGCCATGACATCATTTAAGAGCTTTCAAAATGGTCACAAATTTCAAAATGATTATGGATGAAACATGAAGATATATCACTATGGTTATCCTAACAAATAGCACCAATTCCCTCTCCTGCATTGTTGTCTGTATAAACAACCCCAATAATTGTCTATTAGGCAAAACTCATATAAGCTTGGTTCACAGAGCCATGAAAGGTTCAAGTTTGTAAAGACAAGATTGCATATTCATGAAAACTGAACTCCTTTTCAAAGCATCACTTTCAGTGAAATGAAGTAGTCACATAGTTGACATTTGGAGTCAAGAGATTTTGCAAGAGTCATATAGTTTCATGATTTGTAGACAAATGGGAAAACATGTGAAATGTGAAACTAATTTACAGAATTTTCAAATAGGTCCACCAGTAGCCATACTTTCAACTGGTTGTAAACACACAGCTTGGATGCCATACCTGACTGTCCTGGTGTGGGCCTTTAGGGAGCATCTGTGGTCTGTGTTGCCACCCGATAGCTGCAGTACCTCCAGCCGCTGGTTGCTCTGAAACACACGGTCACCTTGACTACACCATGATATAGTTCTAGTATGGCTCACGTGAACCTCAGGTGAAACTTCAGTAAAACTGCCCCCGAAATGACACATGAAGGAAACCATCACTTACAGCAGTTACAAACATGTTGGCCTTGCAGGCGTGGGGGTTGAACTGGATGCAGTTGATGTCCCACTTGGCCTGTGCCGCTTGCCTTGCTATCCGCACCACTTCCTGTTTAGGGGTGTACAGGTTCACCAGGGCCAAGGCTCGTCTCCTGGAGGCACAAACACAGCACTATATTACTTCACAGACACACAATACATAAATAATGTCTCCACATTTGCAAGAAGTGTTCTTGCAAGGCTGTCACTGCTCTGACCGACATGACTGAGTCAGCAATACTAGTGACCAGCACTCATGCAATCCTGAGTGTGTTCCTCAAGCAAAGCATGACATCACACTACATATTGGGTAGACAAATTGGGTAACATGGCAACTACAACAATTACAGCTTTCAACAAAAGTTGTACACAAGTTCCTGTACTACTGCAGGCAGTAAGCATGGTGAGAGCAATCTGACATAAACAACACATGCTGATGAACACAGAGACAAGATCCTGCATGGTTGACAACGAGGAACAGACTGAAACATACACGTTACTCTTTGAGTAACATCATAGGAAGGGGCATTCACATTCTGAAATCATGCAGGCTATAGCAGGAAACACATGCACAAGTGTATATATTGAATCTGTCTACTGTATGACAAATCTCCCTGAAGAGAAAGAATGTCACAAACAAGCCTTAGAGCCAAAATATGATCAGTCACTGTCTATCGATATTCTTATTTCACTCTAGCAGACAACCTGGATCCTCTGTGAGTAGTGCATTTACACTGCATTACACAGCAAGGGCAGACAACTCCAATCACACCTGAGAACCTGGCCTTTGTTATGCTACCTTTATCAAATCAAAGATGATTTTGAAAATAAAATGCACCGAAATAAGAACAAAAGAAACGTTTAAAACTAAATGATAAGTATTCATTCTGGAATATTGTGCAGTCAGGGGTGGAAATAACTTTAAAATTGCTAGACTACTCCGGCACAGTGGCACGTGTAAAATCACTTGCCCTGATAATTTTTCCACTATACCGGCCGTTTTTTCTTGTTGATTTTTTTAAATAAAGAACATAATTAACATTGGAAAGTCAACTGGACACCAGTACAGCATGATATACAAATTTGCTTGCCCGACAGAAAAAAACACTGGACTGGGGCGTCGGGCAATGGGTTATTTCCACCCCTGGCAGTGTGCATCACAAACAAGTGACTCAATTAAATTAGATGTTTGAAGGTCCCCTCCTTGTGTACCCACTAATAGAGCTCACTTTCCATTTACAACTTACAGCCTCACTTTACTGAGGAGTGTTCTTACCAAGCTAAGGCAAAGTTTGTTTCTGGATGTTTCTGGAAGTCTCACACTATTAGAATGCCAAAACGTAACACACTGGAAAACATCTACTCCCATGCCTACTGCGCTAGGACTTCATTCCTGTGATTCTCATGATTCTATTGTTAGCATAACAAGAAAGTTACATGTGCTTCAGACAAAAAAAAGTTTTTCATCTCTACTCATAATAAGATTTTTCCAATTTATCATTCCTCACATTCCTACCATAAATGACTTACAGTAAAAGCATCTCTTGATGTTCCACAAACCTCTTTTTGGTGAGTGAGTGAGTTAAGTTTTGCACCGCTTTTAGCAATATTCCAGCAATATCACGGCAGGGGACAGTAGAAATGGGCTTCACACATTGTACCCATGCAGGGATTGAACCCGGGTCTTCAATGCTTAACCACTAGGCTACCCCACTGCCCCAAGACCTCTTTTTAAGTTCATGACCTTGAGAAAGACCTTGACCAATAGGTGATGACAATTTTGATAAAATTATTCAGGACTTTGAAGGTGCAAATAAACATGGCAAACGAACCTCCCAAATAATAGAACGGTCACAACATGCTGCAAGGGTTCTTCTCAGACTACAGAAATGTACCGTTGTGGACCAGCAGTCCCTTGACATACATGAGACCTCAAATCAACAGTGCCCCAAACCTGTTTGTCTGGAGATCTGAGATACTCCAACCATGGCAAAATCTTAGCATTAATCAGTGTAGGAAAGATAGCCCGTCCCAACGTCCAAGACGGGTGAATTTTGTGGAGGACGGGTTAAAAAGATATCTAGTCCGTCCTCATGTCGGGTCAATTTTAGCAAACCAATGACATAAATATAATGATTATAACCTTTTTAAATATTTACTACCGAAGGTGTTTTATTTATATTTGGAGGACAGGCTAGATTTTGGCAGGACTGGTAAAAAAATTTGACCTGTCAGTCCTGTGGACAGGCTAGATTTTCTACATCTTTCCTACACTGCATTAATGTACAATTATGGAGAACCCAATGCACTAAAAATATTCCATTTTACAGCTGTCACTTTGAAACAACAATCTCTTCCCAGAACAAGCAATACTTTACATCACCTTCTTAGCTTGCTGCCACATAAATGCAACCAGGCATAGACACATTTCAGAATCAAGACACGTCATACAGCAAAGTTCCTGGGGTACATTTCTGTAGTATCCCATGCAACAACCCCTTTAGCATCATTCAACACATCACTAGGATAACCTAGTTCAAAGATTAGTAGCCTGATTACAAGCAACGTATCAACACTGTTAATGCGGCCCTCAACATGCAGTGGGCAGTACCAGTCAAACATAACACAACTGCCAGCAATTGTTTCAACTGTGCTGTATTTACCTGTACAGTTCTGGTAACAATATGAAATTCACAATTCCCAGGGTAGGCAACTGCAGCTACATTGTGACACAAGCTAAGGTTGAGGCCAGCAGGAAGCTGTGTCTGTTAGCTAGAGGATGTACAAGCCAGGCAACCACAAGCATGGAAATCCAGAACAGATGTTACCAATATCATTGCAAAGTTTGATATACAGATCCTCCCCAGCACTTACAAACACCACCTATGTGGGATACAGTAACAACATATACATGACAGTGCATTCTGTCAAGTCATGAATATGCTGCTGGTACAAGATTTAGATTGCAAAATTGCATAAATTCATCATAAACATTACATGTATAATGGGTTTTATATGATCATGAGGAGAGGTGACTTGGTCCAGCAACATAACACTATACTGAGTATACTGATCAGGTTTGGTGAAGTGCTTGATTGTGTGTCACCATGCCAGGAGGGCAAGGATCACTCCTCATAATATCAATCACTGGATCATCTGGTCCAGTAAGGGTGAGTGAGTGAGTTTAGTTTTACGCCGCACTCAGCAATAATCCAACTATGTGATGGCGGTCTGAAAATAATCGAGTCTGGACCAGACAATCCAGTGATCAACAGCATGTGCATCGATCTACGCAAGTGGTCCTGTAAGGATTCAGAGGCACTCTTTGAACCGCTGCATTGAAATTACATCAGGAAAATCAAGAATGGGCTTTATAGATTGCACTTCAGTCAGGAAGCAAACTGAGATGATCAGTGTGACAAGGAAACCCTGAACATAGCACCTCCTTGTGATCTCATGCCACACAATACCTAGATACAACCATCAGCCTATCCCTGTGTGGGTGTGTCACTTTGCATAATGGACTGCTGACCTGGTAGCCTGTCTCACAGTCCCAGAACTACATTATTTTCCCTACTGCCTGGCCCTCCCTGCAGCACTATATGAAGTAAGTCTAGATTCCCCCAGGTTTCCAAACTCATTGGGGCTCCTTTTCAATTTAAATGGGTTTATTTGTTACTATCAAAGTTACATATATTTTCAGGGACTAAGTGTTAGTCCTCTGACCTGGCTATTCAGTAAATAGCTTTTCATAACAAATGCCAATGATGAATTCATAGAATGGTTACAAATATGATGAAATATGATCCTTGCACTCCTGAACCAAGTGTTTGACAGTGGTTACAGATTGCAAGTTTCATCACTTGGTGTGCCAAAGAAGGAACATTCATGTTACAAATTTATCAGTTCCTTATAACATAACAATCACTATTGTTGCTAATCAGCATTGTTTTATTGCTTGATAGTTGAGAACTATATGAACTCACAGCAATACAGATGATACAACTACAATCTGGTTTCTACTGGAATACACCAGTACTGACCATGTTGTCTATGTCCATCCTGGAGGCTGGGTGGGGAACATCATGCACATGAACCTCAGCTTATGGACAATACATCACAATACCAAATAATAAATGACTCTTTCACTTGCTTAGTGAAATCAGGTAAACAGGCATTCCATATCAAAATTGGTAGTCGCTAAAAATCTAACGTTCCTGCAAGCTTGTTCAAAAGCATTAACATCAAATATTATTCTCAATAAACCCCTGAATGGTATTACTGTCATTATGAATCATCAACAATCAAACAAATCCGTTAGATAATAGGGTGCCATCACATTCAATGATGTGCCAGAACAGGCCTCATTTCTGTCCTGTAGTCAGTCAAGCGGTGAACATCTCTTTGTTAACAATCAACAAACATTGTTATGATGATGCAACAAGATATAAAAGACCTTTACTAAAACAAATCAACAAACACTTGTGTTCTTTAAACCAGGAAAAGTTCCTTGCATGAAAATTAACAGTACCGTACTAGTACAGAACGTAACAAAAACCTTTGCCATATAACATAGTAAACTGGATGATATCTCAAGGATGACCCAGGTATTATGTATTGTTCATTGCAACACCTGGTTGTACAGACGAAGAGCATTGTTCTTTGTTTGCTGGAGGATACGTCTTGTTGATGTGCACCGGATGTCAGCCATGACTTGGGCCACCCTTCCAAGAAGACGCGGACTGTTTAATCTCAGGCCATCAGGTGGGTGGTCAGGGGCGCTGGTGCCCAAAACAATGCGACTTCTATTTAGGAACTTAATAGCCTGATTCTGATTTTCATCGAAATTCTCTATAGCTGAAGAGAACCCGAAGTAGACATTGCTGAAATGACTCAACCAGCCATCTGCAATCATCTGTGTTCCACAGAAATTTTGAAGACACAAAGGTTGTTGTGGGTGGAGGTAGGTGCGGGCCAAATCAAAGCAGATGGAAGACACTTCATGGTAGTACAGGTCTGTACTTGATCCCCACAGATTGATGATGACAGGCTTACTGGGTACAGCAACTTGCAACAGTTCCTTCAGAACTTGGATCTGTGAATTCCACTGGTC